GGAAACGAGGAGCCAAACTCGAAAGAAGAAGGATCCATTATCGAGGCATAATCCAGGTCTCGCAGGAGGTAAGCCGCAAGGGCCTCCCGCACCACCTTCGGTGTGATGCGGAAAGCCGAAAACCTCTTTTAAAGGAGGGAACCGAAGAACCCAAGGGAACCCAGAACCAAACCCGGGGAGGAATCAAACTCATATCAAAATCGTACAGGGAGGGGGATAGGAAAACCCCTTCCCCTATAAGAACAAGCTCCACTCCGAGGGTACCAACACCCAAGCGGGGTCAAACAGGGCCCAAGCCCCCAAGTCAACTCTTCCTCAGCTCCAGGATCCTCCATGTCAGGACCCAGTCCACAGGAAAAGCAGGGATGAAGGGGGCCCGCTGGTATGACCCAAACACTAAGGCAGGAGGAATAGGCTCGAGTGCCTCCTCCGCCGATCTGGAAGGGGCAATCCCTGAAGCCACCCGAGACACACCACCAGGCAAACCCTGCCCCAACTCTGAAACCCTCAGACGTTTGGGAGCCGGGAGCAGGGATGGGGGGAGCAGGATGAACCACAGCAGGGGAAGGACTAGGGGTGCAGATGAAACCAGGTGAGTGTCACCCTGAGTCAAGCGTACAGAGCAACCTTCAAACTCACACAAAGTGAAGTGGGACTCTGAAGTCTCTTCCATTGGACCACTGAGCCCCAATGGGGGTTTCCAGGGCCCTTAAGCTGACTGCTAAGGGAAGCCCAGGTGAGGTACTGCTAACTGGTTATTCCAGAGCTACCAAGCAAACAAACTAAAAGCTGAACCCCCTGCGATGTGTGCAAGCACGGGGACGTAGTGGAGGGCCACCAAAACCAAGCAAGTGGTCCTACCGTCACACCAGGCAGACCCCCCACCAGGCAAAACAAAACAAAAACAAAAGGAAAAAACCTAAAAAATACAACATCTCCAGGTGAACAGAACCAGTCGCATAGCATACATCAGAAATCAGCACAGTACCTCGCGCCCCAGCCAGCGACGAAACTACTTCCTACCCAAGGTCAAACAGAAGTAAGAACCAACCCAGCTGAACCCCAAGGGCGGGCAATCACCAAGCAGCAATAGAACCTCGTGGAGGTAGTTTCCAAACGGCTCAGGGAAGATAACCCTAGGCTGCAGGAGAAGTACTTAGAGGGCACCTAGGGAAGGTGGCCCTAGGTGCATGCAGCCCCAGTACTCTTGTATTACTCCTGGCTCACACACCACCCAACACTGAACAACAACACCGCACTGCAGCACTGCTCAAAGGATGGAGCCAAAGTCAATCGCCCACCATCGACACAACAGCCTCTTGAACTGAGGAGAGTTGCCGGCGTGGACGTCTGGGACCCCTCCCCATCCCTCTACTGGGGAGCGTGTGGTGTTGCGCAGACTGATGCGCGGTAGTTGTGGTGACGTCATACTTGTTTCCTTGTTTTTGATTGGGGAGTTCTGTTTGCTAGTTCTGCTTTCGGTTTTCATTTTTTGACCAGCAGTAGATTATTTTGGAATGCTTATCTTTCTGGGTGCCTGACCTGGTAGATGACAGACAAAGACGGCTTTCAATTACATGGGGGGGGGGTGTCTTTAGGCCATTGCTCCTCGTGGCTCTTCTTGAGGGGGCCAGGTTCTGGCTCTGGTCCCCCGGTAGGCCTAGAACTCCATCGATTGACTGTTGCCATGGTCTAATATATGCACATCAGCCTGGTATAGCTCCAGAGAGCCAAGAGGCTCTCCACAGAAATGAGGGTATTAATCAGAGGAAATGTATCAGACTGGAGAAGCGGAGTACGATATGGTTCAGTTCAAGCACTAGTATAGCTCCAGAGAGCCAAGAGGCTCTCCACAGAAATGAGGGTATTAATCAGAGGAAATGTATCAGACTGGAGAAGTGGAGTACAATATGGTTCAGTTCAAGCACTAGTAATGTTCATTGTCTATTCATTGAATACACTGTCTGTATTCCAGAAGGAAAACAGAATTATTGAACATGTTTGCTAATGATGAAAAGATCCTAGGACAGATAAGAAACTTAAGTGATTGTCGATTGTCATGCCCTTCAAGATTATCTGTACAGGATAAGAGGATGGAGGAAAACTTGGCAGATTGAATTTAATGCGAGTAAAATTCATGTTATGGAATGTGGAATAGGAGAAAATAGGCCACACACAACCTACAAATTATGTGAAAAAGCTTTAAAGAATTATGATAAAGAAAGAGATCTACGGGTGATTCTAGATAAAAAAAAAAATTGTCACCTGAGGATCACATTATGAACATTGTGTGAGGAGCATATGCTTCGCTTTCCAACTTTAGAATTACTTTTAAATACACGGATGACAAAATATTAAAGAAATTATTCATGACATCTGTGAGACCAAAGTTTAAATATTCAGCATTTGTATGCCACCCATATCTTAACACTTTCTGCGGATCAGGACTCCTCCCGGCGTCCTGTTTCGCCTACCGCTCCCGCATGGTGGATATAAATTTATGTCCTCTTTTAAAATATTTGTATAAAATTAAATTTTTATCCGATTTACTTTGGGTTTGTTTCAAACTGCGTGCCATGAGGCTCTCTTTCTCACCACTAGGCTGCATGGTACAATAAGTTCATGAAAGGTGTGGACCACTTCGATCAAATGGAATTATGTCCCAAATGGGTTGCAGGTGGGTGACTTTAGCCGTTTATACTGGTAATGCTTCCCCCATATCATGTATTATATGCATATTTAGGGAATTTTATTCCGATCAATGTACAACAAAAAATAACTGTGTGCAACAAGTATAAACTTGACAAACATAACAAAAGTAAAAACATTTCGTGTGTGTTTGACGCTCACTGATATGTTCCAGCGTTGTTTTATATTTGGCGCTATTCTATATTACGCTTTGTTGATCTTTTTTACCTACGGGCTCGTAGAACATTATATTGCGAACACATTGACACAAAAATGAATGACGTACATAGAATAATAATGTCATGAGAGTGAAATAAGTATAAACTTTCAAAGCGCCGTGTGTCGTCCCGTCACCGATACCGGGTAACAATTTCACCACTTCCCACACTCTTGCGGGTGGGCCGCAATCATTATTCTATGCTTATATTCATATCATCGTGTTGGGAATTTCATTGCGAGTCCATTGATACCAAAATTAACGCTGTAGGACAAGTGTGGAGGTGATAACAATCCCAAGAGTAAAAACATTTTGTTGCTGTTGGGCGCTCACGGCGAGTCATCTTCGTAGTTATTTATTTGGTGCTGGTATCCTTATACGTTTCGTGACTTTTTTACTGATGTTCTTCTAGAGAATTTTATTGCGAACACGTTGGTACCAAAATGAAATACGTAGCTCGAGAACTAAGGTCAGGAGAGTAAAAAGAGTATACACATTTTTGTTTTTACGCTTACGCGGCAAAAACGCCGCGTGCACATACCGCTTTTTTTTTTACCATCGAAGGGGTCCGGAAAGTGTTAATTAAGAAGTACATCATTGAATTAGAAAAGGTGCAAGAACACGCAGTTAAATGACTTCCTGAAGTGAAAAATAAAAGCTACTGTACAAAGTGAGGTTTGGGGCATTAAATATAATAAAACTAGATGATAGAAGAAAAAGAGGTGATATGATCACTACTTTCAAAAGAGTAACAGGAATCAATAAAATTTACAAAAAAAAAAGAATGTCTTAAAACTAACTTCAAGAACAACAGGACATAAATATGTTCAAACTAAGGAAACAAAGCTACTGAAAAACATAGGAAATTTTCCTTTTGCAAACAGAGTGGAAGATGGCTGGAACAAGTTAGGTGAGAAGGTGGTTGAAGCGAAAACAGTCAATAGTTTCAAAGTGTTATATGATAAGAAGTACTGGGAAGACAGGACACCATGAGAGTATATCTCATCCTGTCTACACTTAAGTGATTACTATATTGTGTGCCCACCGAAAGGAAGGAGACCAATGACACTGAGAGGCCTGGTGAATACTGGTCACGAAGCCCCAGCCCAGAACCGAGGTTTCCATGAAGACGTTAAGTGAAGGAAGAGGAAGGGGCCAGGGAACTATACCCCAAAAAGCCAAAAGAGGAAGCTGGCACTGCACCTGCTGGCAAAGGACCCATGTAGTCCAAACTCAACGATAGCCGCAAAGGTGAAAGGGATGCCACCAGAGAAACAGATCGGCCCCTGTAGTCACACCCTGCCCAGTGGAAAACCACACAGGTAAAGTTCAGACTCTCGCACAACTGCTTGAGCAACTGTCAAGGCACCTGCCGCCGACTCAACACTAACTGACGATAGTGTTGTCAGGAAATTGAATAGGTTTAAAAATGTCAGAGACATTTGTCAAATCATTGATGTATATAAGAAATAAGAGAGGTCTTAAGATACTGCCCTGTGGCACTCCTACTGTTAACGGTAGAGTGGGGGAGGTTATGTCACTGATGATTACATAATGGTGTCTGTCACTAAGATAGGATCAAATATAGTTCAGAGCAAGGCCTCAGATTTCATAGTGATGAAGTTTATGTAAGTAGTAGTTATTGATTACAGTATCAAAGGCCTTTCTCGGGCAAAAGAAGAAGCCAATTGGGAATTTTTGTCTAGGGCTGTGTAGATTATATCAAGCAGAGTAAATGGCATCATTGGTACTCATTTGAGAATGGAAGCCAAACTGGCAGGGACACAATATTTTGAATTTTACAAGGTAGGAGTAGAGCTGTTTGTAAATAATTGTTTCAAATATTTTTAATAGACTTGTAGATTTGGTGTGTAGTTGTTCATTGTCAGCTGTATTCTCCTCCTTTATGAACTGGAGTTGCTCTTGCTTTTTTAAGGATTTGGGGAAAAATATGGCACTCTAGAGATTTGTTGAATAGCAGAGCTATGGGTGGTGCAAGGGGCACCACCCCTTGCACCACCCAATACATCTATAAAAGGAATAAATTTACTCATCTTTAACTTCCCCTACTAGAACTTTTAGCAGAATAACTCACCTTAGTGTTATCAAATAATTCCACAGCATGTCGTTCACCATTAAAACTGCGATAACCAGCAGATCCATATATATAATTATATTGATAAATATCAGGATAAGCATAATGCAGGCACATTTCATTGCTTGCATGGCCCATCTTGCAAGATGTGGTGACATTCCTGGTCAAAATAGTGCCTTCATAGTAGGCAAGAGGAAGTAGCACAAAGTAGTCCTGAAATAATAAGCAATAACTCATTATTATCTTTAAATGATAAGGATTTTATAAACTCCAGAAATAACTTTCCAAAATATAATCAAATTGAAAATATTTATAACAAACATTACTCCTTTAATGTAACCATACATTTATATGTTTCCAAGAAAATAAATACACAAGACTCTCACTAATTCAAACCTCATTAACCTAAATCTCTAGGTAACTTGACCAAAATCACAATAAATTTATACAGATGCATCTTCAAAATGTGGATTATCGGACCTCACTTATCGGACCCAATATGGATTTTGCATGATATTCCAGATTTCCAGAAATCTGTCCCTGTTGGGACAATTATCATCAAATTGTTTGTATGTTACATCATAAAATTGTTACATAATAATATATAATAAATACATAATAAAATAAAATTACATATTAAAATGAAGAACCTCGATTATCAGGCACAGGTTCTTCAGATAGTATGTGGAATATCTTGTCTTTTACAAATTTTCTTCTGCAGTATGTTCCTTCCTTCATTCTCTTCTTGTTGATAGTAGATACTTCAACACTACTCACACTTTTATTTAACCCCTCAGCTGCACCACTGTTAATACCATGTATCCACAGCCATGCATCTCCCTCTTCTCTCTCCATCCCATGGAGATACCATGCATCTCCCTCTTCTCTCTCCATCCCATGGAGATACCATGCATCTCCCTCTTCTCTCTCCATCCCATGGAGATACCATGCATCTCCCTCTTCTCTCTCCATCCCATGGAGATACCATGTATCTCTCTCTCTCTCTCTCTCTCTTGTTCTCTCGCTTCTTCTCTTTTTCTTTCTTCTTTTTCTCTCGCTTCTTCTCTTTTTCTTCCTACTTTTTCTCTCTTCTCTCTCTTTTTTTCTTCTCTCTTCTCTCTTGTTTCTCTCTCTCTCTTATCTCTCCTTCTCTCTCTCTCCCTTCTTGCTCTCTCTCTATTTTCTACCATTTTCTTCTTCTCTCTCTCTATTCTCTACCTTTTTCTTTTTCACTCTCTCTTCTTCTCTCTATTCTTCTTTCTCCTCCTCTTCTCTCTTCTTCTTTTCTCTCTATTCTTTACATTTTCTCTCTCTCTCTCTCTCTCTCTCTCTCTCTCTCTCTTCTCTCCCTTTGTTTTCTTTATCTCTTTCTATGTCTCTCTCTCTTCTCTCCTCTCTCTCTCTCTACCTCTCTCTCTCTACTCTCTCTCTCTCTACCTCTCTCTCTCTCTCCCTCTCTCTCTCTCTAACTCTCTCTCTCTCTCTACCTCTCTCTCTCTCTCTACTCTCTCTCTCTCTCTCTCTCTCTCTCTCTCTCTCTCTCTCTCTCTCTCTCTCTCTCTCTCTCTCTACCTCTCTCTCTCTACCTCTCTCTCTCTACCTCTCTCTCTCTACCTCTCTCTCTCTACCTCTCTCTCTACCTCTCTCTCTCTCTACCTCTCTCTCTCTACCTCTCTCTCTCTACCTCTCTCTCTCTACCTCTCTCTCTCTACCTCTCTCTCTCTACCTCTCTCTCTCTACCTCTCTCTCTCTACCTCTCTCTCTCTACCTCTCTCTCTCTACCTCTCTCTCTCTACCTCTCTCTCTCTACCTCTCTCTCTCTACCTCTCTCTCTCTACCTCTCTCTCTCTCTCTCTCTACCTCTCTCTCTCTACCTCTCTCTCTCTACCTCTCTCTCTCTACCTCTCTCTCTCTACCTCTCTCTCTCTCTCTCTCTCTCTACCTCTCTCTCTCTACCTCTCTCTCTCTACCTCTCTCTCTCTACCTCTCTCTCTCTACCTCTCTCTCTCTACCTCTCTCTCTCTACTCTCTCTCTCTCTCTCTACCTCTCTCTCTCTACCTCTCTCTCTCTACCTCTCTCTCTCTGTACCTCTCTCTCTCTGTACCTCTCTCTCTCTACTCTCTCTCTCTCTTCTCTCTCTCTCTCTCTCTTCTCTCTCTCTCTCTCTCTCTCTCTCTCTCTCTCTCTCTCAATTCTTCTCTTCTCTTCTGCTCTCTCTTTGCTCTTCTTCTTCTCTCTGTTACAACCCTGGGTTCCTCAATTGGAAACCAGAGGTCAAATTGAGCTAAATAAACTACTTTATATTAGTGAGACGCATGGCGAGGTGTCTGTGTTTGTATCTTCCCTGCCAGACGTAAGACGATTCTTGTTTCTCAAAGAGCATTTAAAGACTGAGCTTGGGGTTGATTATTAAGTAATAAAATAGGCATCAACTATGTTTACAAATGATTAGAAAGTATTAGTAAAGTAGATCTGAGTAAACTTGGATATAGGGCTGCT